GTGGGACTTGACCCCGGACCGCCTGGCTCAAAGGTAGGGATCACTAACACTGCACCACATGAGCCTTCTTACTATCTCTGATTCAATTTTGTTTTATTCTGGCAACAACTGAAGGAGAAATAAATAGAGGGCTCCTGTGGTGCAGTGTTAGTGATCCCTACCTTTGAGCCAGGCGGTCCGGGTTCAAGTCCCACTTGTTCCAGAGGTGTGTAATTACATCCCTGAGCAGGTCGATTAGAAAATAGGTTTTGAAAAAGATAAAAACAGATGAGGAAGAAGAAAACCTAAATAGGTGGATAAGATTGTGACATGGATTGAGAAAGGCTTGAAGAAAACCATAGAACAACAATACCGACAGCCCACTAAGGCTATGGTGATAATGAAAGTTCAATATATTTTTCTAAAATTTTTCCCCTCCAACTATGAAATGGAAACTCTTTTGTTTTAAGATGATTGCAGATCCTCTAAAATTGAGAACACTAACTTCATGTGAATTCATTATGAGCTGATCCCGTCACTTTAGGATCCTTTAATTTATTACGCGACATTTAAACCCTTCATCAAAGTGAACAACCTGCTTGAATTAGTTTTGTCAATTTATTTGTTATCTGTAAGACTTCAAGTAGATCACCCCAATGTTTCACCAAAGAAAACAAGCCTTGTGACCTTTTCAAACCAGCACACAAGATTTCAGCTCAGGTCTGAATACTGTCCTATGACCTTTTAGATGTGCATCTTCATTTCTTTGTTAATTCAAGTTTATGTGCCCTTTCTGGAAATGGAGCACTTTTCATAACCACAGTGAAAGCCACACCGTTCTTGTCAATTAAGTACAGTAACAACTATTTTACAGGTATATGCCATAGTTTATTTGTGGAAAAAAGGTCCCATAAACGCCAGTAAAATAAATAACAAGAAAATGTTCTTTGTAGCATTTTGTTAAAGATTAAATATTTGCCGGAAGAACTCCAGTGCTCTTCTGTGATCAGTGCTGTGAGATCTTTTAAGTATATCATAAAAAGTAAATGGGAGTCTTGATTTAACAATTCATCCAAAAAAGATGCCACCTCCAACAATGCTGAAAGTATTAAATTAGATTATGTGCTCAAGTTTCTGGAGTGGTCTTTGATTAGATGACTTATTGACACAGATGAAGTTTATATCAACCGGTAAGGTTGGTAAGGTAAACAACTTTTTACCTCACAGCTAGTCTTGACTCGTTTATAGATCATATTTCTTGGATCACATGATCAGTAATACTGGACCACCACAGTTCCATTTATCATGTACTGATCTACAAGTTGCTGTTGAGGATTTTAGGGGAGGGACACAAAAAAATTTACATACCATTCATTTGTCTCCAACCTGAAATGGGTGAAGATCTCCAACAAACTAATGGTCAAAAAGACAAATGAACTTTCATTAGCGTATCACTAACTGTAACATTTGAGGAGTGATACCCTTAATTTCTTGCTCCAATAACAAGTATTTTACACTTACCCACATCAGATTGCATCTGCTACCTACTTAATCAGTTCCTAGTCCCTATCTAACCAGGTTGCACAGCCTTTATTAGTTTTTCTACTTAATGATACCTGCTTATTACATCCTTACACAAAGCTAAGAATAATAATTACAAGAGTTCCACTGCATATTAATGCAGGCTAATCTGTACTTACATTTCAGTGGGTCCATTTTCTATATTGATTGCACCTTCCACTGGGTCAAGACCTTGTTCAGATAGCTGTTTCAAGGCACTTAAAGCTGCCTGTAGTAGGAAAAAAATAAACCTGGGTAAGCCTCTGCAGGCACAATTTTTCAAAATGTTTCTTCCTCATGCACTTCCCAAAAGGTATACAACACGACTAGAATTTTACACACACACACTCAGAGTCCTGATGTTGGGACTAAAAATAGGCCATGAGCCAGTGAATGGACTTTGGTGGCAACATTACAGATGGTGATCAATTAGGAGCTCATCACTGGGAATTAAGGATGGTAGTCTGCCTCTCAGAGCTGCTAGCATTTTGACTGGGCAGCAGGTCTACAACTTGGGTGGGCAGAAGTGACTGCTGCTAAGCTGCCAGTGAAAACAACTGAGGCTGCCCCCACTATGCTTGCTAGTAGGTGAAAAACATTTGCTCGATGTCGGTACCAAGCAGGAGACCCTGGTGGCTGTCAGGGTGAAACGTCCAGCACCAACATTAGGGTAGTCAGTGGGCCCTAGCATGAGCACTGGAGCCTTCAGAAAGGAGATTTTACCCTTAGCCCTGGTCGGTCACTGGGAGGCCACTTTGATGGCAGTGACTACGTGGTGGGGGTTCTTTTGAAGTTGGTAAAATGGCTTTCAATAGACAAATGAAATACCTTAATTCGCCTGCTGCCTCTCATTGGTGGGAACACAAGCCCTTGCCTTTGATACTAATGCTATGGTAATGAGAACAATTCAGGCATCCCTTTTCACACCTTCTGCTGTCATTTTAACACCCCTCTCACCTCCCAGCCTATCTCCAGGGGGCAGAAGCATTCAGCGATGTGTTTAAACCTTATAATGAATCCTTGTTTGGAATTCACCATAAGTAATTGCACTAAATATATTGCCGAGAGTTAAATAGGATATGCGGCACAGAAACAGGCCATTCATTCTAAACAGTCCATGCCAGTCTTTCCATCCCACTCCAGCCTTAACGTTGAAATACTAAAGCTTTTTGACCAGTAGGGATCTAACAAAAAGGACCAAAAAACTTAAAAAGGATGCAATTTTATTTAAGTAATAAACATGAAAAATACAAATAAAAATAGATCTGTAGTTTGATTTGAGGGTCATTTCAGGACACAATCTGACTCTCTGCCTGCATCTCCCATGTTATTTTGTGAACATTCAGTGATTTGTTACAAAAGGAGGAATAAAAGATACAATATCAAATACTCATGCAGGTATAGATAATGATGCCAGCCACCTAAATAAAATGTGTCAATATAATGCTGAAGCATTTGAAGTGCTGAGTGGCTGATCCATCTTGGCATCCTCCAGAGATCCCCAGCCTCACGGACACCAGTCTTCAGCCAACTTGAATCACACCTCGTGATATCAATATATGGCTGGTGGCACTAGATACTACAAAGGCTATGACAACGTCCTGACAATGTTCCAGCAACAGTACTCAAAATGTGTGTTCCAGAATTTGCTGTACCCCTAGCCAAGTTGTTACAGGACAACACTGGCATCTACACGACAGAGTGAAAATTGCCCAGGGTCATCCTGTGCATAAAAAGCAGGACAAATCAAACACATTGCCAGCCCATTAATCTACTCTCAATCATCAGTAAAGTTTTGGAAGGTGACATTAATAGTGCTATCAAGGAACATTCGCTCAGCAAAAATCTGCTCACTGACATTCAGCCACATGGGGCTCTCAACTACTGACTTGGTTCAAACATGGACAAAAGAGCTGTATTTCAAAGGCCTATTTCCTAGGCCCAACCATCTTCAACTGTTTTATCAATGACTTCGCCTAATCATAAGGTCAGAAGTCAGGTGTTTTCTGATGATACCACACTGTTCAGTACCATTCACAACTCTGCAGATACTGAAACAATCCATGTACAAATACAGAAAAACATAGAGAATACCCAGGTTTGGGGTGACAAGTGGCAAGTAGCACTTGTGCCACACAAAAGCTAAGCAACGACCATCTCCACTAAGAGAAAATCTAACCACTGTCCCGTGGCCTTCTATGGCATTATCATCATAGAATTCCGCCCACCTCTAGGGTTTACCATTGACCAGAAACTAAACTGAATGGGTTAGAAATCCTGCAGCAAGTAACTCACTTTCTGTCTCCCAAAGCCTTTTCACAATTAACAAGGCACAAGTCAGGAATACGATGGATTATATATGGACTGTGAGCGCAGGTCTAACATCAGTCAAGAACCTTGACAACATCCACGCTTGATTGGCATCGCATACACAAACATTCAGTCCTTCCACCATCAACGCTCAGTGGTAGAACTGTGTACCATCCATAAGATGCACTACAGAAATTCACCGAGGATCCTTAGCCTACACATTCTTAAACAATGACCATACCATCTAGGAGGACAAGCACTACAGTTACTTGGAAACACAACCTTCAAGTTTCGCTCTAAGACACTCACCATCCCGACTTGAAAACATTTGCCATCTTTTAAATGTCACTCTGTCAAAATCCTGGAATCCTTTCCCTAACAAAATGTGGGTCTGCCTAAACCAAATGAACTGCAATTGTTCAAGAAAGCAGCTTACTATTACCTTCTCAAGGGCAACTAGAAATGGGCCAAAACTGCTGACGTTCACATCCCGTGAATGAATAAAAAAAAAGAATAAAACCGATTCTGGATTATTTCAAATGTCCATTTGGGCAAATAAGTTACTTTATTTTGTTAATTTTAAAATTGGTTTATATTTATTTCTATATCAAACCTTTTGTACCTTCTTTGAATACTTTGACATAATCATCTAATTTTATCTTGATTACACATTTAGTCATGCTGTACTTTTCTAGACTTTGAATTCTAAGAAATGCGCAGATTAGGATGTTGCTTGATTTTAATTAGTACTACCATCTGAATTTTTGATGCTGCCTTTTAAGAGATCTAAGTATTCCTTTTAATTGTATCAACCCTTTTTATTCTGGCAATCAAGGGTTATACGGAAAAGGCAGGAAAGTGGAGTTGTGGATTATTAGCTCAGCCATGAATTCACTGACTGGCAGAACAGACCTGCTGGGCTATGTCCGCTCCTATGTCTTATGGTCTTACTTCTTGGAACACAGTAGTTTTTAAAATCAAATCAAGAAAGCCAGTGAAGCCATACACTCTGATTGAGCAAGTATTGTTTCACTAGAATATGTGTCAAAATGGGCAGGAGCAATAAATGTTTTTACAAAGATTGCAAATAGCATTTTGCATTTCTGTGTTGCTACACATTGGTTTGTTTAACAATTATAAGAAATCAATTTCATTATAGAAAGTGTATTAGATGATGGATGTACAGCAAACTTCCACATCATTATGAATGGACAATGGCCACTTCAGAAAAAAACCTGCATCCATGGATGCAGCCCTGCATGAATCAGAACAAATAAAAAAGCACTGCCTGCTGGAGAAAACAAGATGGGCCCAGCTGTACATCACTTGTATTATGATATTACATAGAAATAATATAATGGCTCTCATGATGCAGTAGTATATTTGAATGCAAATTTTGCGTTTAACGCAAGTTACTGATGTCAACCTCAACTTTGCTGGAAACAGTGGACTGCTGTGTGCCTTGTGCCGACACGTTCAGATAAATGGGGATTACAGGGCATTCAATTCAATTATGCAAAGTGCTTTCAATTTCTAAAACATTCAGAATCTTCAGCTAGTAGAGTCAGTGAACATGCTTCAAATAGAGATAAGCACTCCAAGTGGAGCGAATACTCGAGTGGTACTTTATGGCTCTTAACATTCACTCTCAATATGTAAAATAACACTGACCCTCAGAAATGGACTACGTACGTGGGAGCAGGCAAGAATGTTTTACCCCACCAAAGATATAACTGGGGGATAAGTCAACCTTGTGTATCTTCATAGCATGTGCAACTGAATAAGGCAGCTTATAAACACATAATGTTGAGTCTGGTACAGGGTTATACCTCTAGTTCTCCAGTCATAACAAATGGTCTACACTTAATGTCGACAAACAGGAGAGTAGAAGAACACAACAAACCAGGCAGCATCTGGAGTCAACATTTCGGGTATTACCCTTCTTCAGGACTGGATGTGGGGTTACGGGGAGCTGCAGATAAAATGAGGGGTGAAGGGTTTAGCAGAATGGTGGTGAAAGGCAGAAACTGGTAATAGGTATAACCTGGTTCGTGGCTAGAAGAGAGAGTCAGAAGGTGGAATGGAAGGGAGGATGTGGGGCTGGAAGGGAAGCCGGGGGATGGGTGGGAAGGTTATTTGAAATTGGAGAACTCAAGGTTGAGTCCTCTGGGCTGTAGGGTGCCCAGGCAGAAGGTAAGGTGTTGTTCCTCAAATTTACATTCCGAGTCGCTGCGACACTAGAGGAGGCCAAGGACGGACACATCGGAGGGAGAGTGGGGGGTGGAGGGGGCAGGTGAAATGGGCGGTGACCAGGAGGTTAGGCTGGCTCTTACAGGCAGGCAAAAATGCTCGGTGAAACAATCACCAAGTCTACGTTTGGTCACACCGACATAAGATGACCACATTGGGAGCACCAGATGCAATAGACTAGGTTGGAGGAGATGCAGGTGAAGCTCTGTCTCACTTGGAAGGGCTGTTTAGGGCCCCGGATGGAGGTGGTGTGTGGGCAGGTGTTGCATCTTTTACAGTTACAGGGGAAGGTACCGGGCGGGTTGGAGAGGTTAGTGGGGAGTACGGTTACAGGGGAAGGTACCGGGCGGGTTGGA